AGAAATCTTGGCAACTTACATATTGGAATTCCAACCATCATCTTGGAGGACTGAGTGATGATTTGTTCATATAAAGTTATTGGTTGATTTACATTAAGATTATTAATCTTATCCTTTATGAAAGTAATCTAGTTATCTTTTTCATTATTGCTTGATACAAAGGATTCCACAATTTTTGCAAAAAATGCAACTTGTTTTTCCAAAAAAGTTGTGCTAATTGTCATAATAGTCACTAACCCAAATTTTTCTTTTTAAGAAGACAATGAAACATAAGTGCAAATTGATTTGTTATTTTGTTCTTTGAATGATAATCAACAGCTTACACTTGATCAATAAGAAGAAGTTGCCTAATAGAAGATTCTTCTAAACCTTGATTTGAAAAAAGTATCTTAGAGTGTATTTTGGTTAGGCACTAAAAGAGTTTAAACTTGCATTTTTTTCAAGAACTTTTTTCTTTCTTTTAGTGCTATAAGGATCAACATGAACATAAATGCTTGATTATGATTTAGAGAAGACTACACGATTTGCTTGAATAGGCTTGAGGCTTGCTTGTTAGCATAGGTTTTTTCGTGCCATTGCAGCTTGAAAACTTGAACTTTGAAGAAAATAGATGAAAGGCAAAAATTGTCCCACCAACTTGCTAGAAATTTGTACACATAAATTTTAAGTAAAAATAAGATAGGAAAAATTAGAAACAAATAATAATTTTGTTTATCAAACTTGAAATTACAAACTTTAGAAATTCTTAAAACAAACAAAAATCTTCTGATTCTTTCTTTTAGTAGAAATTCGTTTCAAGGATCCTGATAACTTATTCTTAAATTGAAAAAATTTGAACCCATAATTTAAGAATCCTTGAAATTCTTAAAATTTGATCCTAAAATTTAAGGAGTCTTAAAAATCCTGGAACTTAGCCCCAATTTAAGGATTCTTGAAATTTGGTTTCAATTTAGTGATTTTTGGAATTTTATCCTAATTTAAGTTCTTGAAATTTGATTCCAATTTAGGGATTCTTGAAATTTGATCCCAATTTAGGGATTCTTGGAACTTAATCCCAATTTAGAGATTTTTAAAATTTGATCTTATTTTAGGGATTTTTAGAATTTGATATCAATTTACGGATTTTTTAGATCTTCAAGCTTTAATCTTTAGATCTTTCTACTTGGATTTGTTTGTTGAAATTCTAAAGACTTTGTTCTTTAGATTTTCCTTCTTTAACTTGTGGGAACTCTAAAGACTTTGGTTCTTTCGATCTTCACTTCCCCCAATTGTTTTCTTGAATTTGTTTGCTGGAACTCTAGAAACTTTGCTCTTCAGATCTTCTTTCTTGAAGTTGTGGTAGCTTTGGAGACTTTGATTTTTCAAGCCTTCTCTTCCCTCAATTGTTTTATGGAATTTACTTGCTAGAACTTTGGAGATTTTGATTTTTCAAATCTTTTTTACACCATTTATCTCTAGGTTTTTTTTTTTTTTAGTTATATTCTTAATCTTTATTCTTAAACTTTACGCTTTTAGAGATTTTGATTGTTCAAATCTTATGTTTCCCATTTGTCTTCATGTTTTCTTTTTCTTAATTGTGTTCTTGATCTTTGTTCTTAAACTAGTGAGAATTCTGGAGACTTTATTTATTCAATTTTTTTTTTCACATTTTTCTTAAGATTTTCTTTTTTAAAAAATTATGTGTCAAATCGTTTAGAGGAACTCTATATTTATATTGATAGGAGATGCTAAATGAGAGTTTTAAGAGAACTTAACATTTTTTAATTTATCTCTAAATTTTTTAATTTAATTAGAAATAAAAAAATGACTCACAGATGAAATTTGATTTGATGATCCATATACTATCTCTAAATTATTTTGATTTATCTAAAAATAAAAATTGATAATTTGTAAGAAAATTCTGATTAATTGGATTACGAGTCTTTGAAATTTGATTGAAGAAACATGTTTCATCTTGATTTGCCAATAGTAATTTTGATAAATCTTCAATTCCCTTATTTAGTAACAAATTAAGATTTTAATTCATAACCAAATATAGCTAAAAGAAATTTTTCAAAGGACAAGTGTCACTTTATAATTGATCAAAAAATTTCTCTATATATAGTTTCGGTCTTGCGAAATTTGGACCCATTCGGTTGTCGGTGGACTCGGCACTACTGGTGAAGAAATGAATTAAAATCCATCCCAATTCCAAGTAAGTTCCAGTCGGGAACGAGTCAATACTTGAAACAGGAGGAAGGTTTGCCCTTTTTTCCTATCATGGCAGGCTAATGGACAATTTAATATTACTAAAGTCCAAACGATACCTATCATCCCTGCTTGATGAATATAGAATCGGAACAAAAACTAAATCGACCAAAAAACTTAATTATTTGGTCGAATGAAAGAAGATCGATATCCTAATCAAATTTGTTTTCCAATTTCTGTCTTGGAATGAGACTAAAATGCTTGTGAACGACTCTTTCAAATAACATCCTATGACTTAAAAGTAAGAGATTTTAACAGGCATAGCGTATAAGAAGGAAGATGTACCTGGGGAGCTTGAGGAACAAACGGCAAGATAGGATCCGTTTGAGCAGTAACATAAAAATCCACCCAAGGTGAGGTTGTACCCACACTGCCCACCAGAGTTCAGACACCGGTTACAGAAAGTATCGTTTGCAGACCAGTGAAGCTCAAAACCAGCTGTAAGCGCTTCTAGCAGAGTATCCGAATTTCGATTTGCCTCCAACAACTGAACTTGTGAATTCAGGACAGGAATAATGACACTGTTGTTGCAAGATCCTAAGGATGTGCTTACTAAAGTAGCAACGCTCCCCAAGGACGTTTGTGTGATATTCCTTGTAACATAATAACCTATGACATCTGTTGAGTTTATTGTGCAGTTAAATTGACTGGAAATCCACTGAAGATCTTGTAGACCTGGAACTGTAAGGGGATGACAACCATAATACAGCGTTATATCCAGAGCATCGATGTTGATTTCAAAGGGGCTGTTAGTGAAAGTGGAGTTGACGAGAGAAGTTGGACAAATACTGCCAGAATAATCAGCTCTAGCTACTTCAAGGACTTGAAAATTACTTATATACCGGACTTGGTAAGTAGCTGAATTGATTGTAATCTCTGGAGTATTTTGATTGCAATTCAGCCTGAAGCCAGGGTAGCCACAACTTTCTGGCCGATCCAATCCCCAGAAAGGATAACCAATATTCTGAATGTCTCCACAAGAGAATCGTGCACTGCAGCTCGAAATATTCCCATCATTGGCAAACACAGGCTGTGCGGTAAGAATCAGGATCAAACTTATGATCATGAAGAACCAAAACTTGGATGGCAACAAAGGGGGATGCATTTTCGGAGAAAGGGGGTTCAAGAGATGAGTTGGTAGAGAACAAGAAATACTTAGGTTATAAAATGAGAAGTTGAAGATGAATTGGTTTTAATCATGATAATCAAGTTGCTGGTCTTTGACGAAGTGAAGGGTGAAATTTTTCAAAAGGAAGCTTCAATTGGCAGCATTAAGCACCGGTCAATGGAATTTTAGGTAGCCTAGAAATAATATATAGTAAATGTAAGTAACCTAGTCTAATTTATAGTTGTGAACCACTCGATATATACAGATATATATATATATATATATATATAGATATATATCTTTGAGTTGCTTGTGGGAAATCTTTAATTCTATATATTCTAGCTCTCTCAACTCCCAAGACTCAGAAATTTAAACTCAGCTCGAGTGCTTAAAAAGTCAAAGAAACCGGCAACAGGAGAATACAACTGATTTTATAATTGAATAAACCAATATCTAAATAGACTAAATGGTTTTCTTGGGCTTAAAATTACCAAGGTCAACAAGATGACACCAATCTTCTAAAGTTTTGGTGCTTATACAATAATCCTAACATCCAGGGCATTGATTTTAGGGGATATAGAACTAATCTCACACAGTTGCTCAGTAAAAGAACTCAGGATTGGTTTGAATCCTCTTGAGAGCAATCCAGAGAAGCTATGGTCCAAGGTTGAAATTATTTGAGGAAGAACCACTATCAAAGCCTAAAAATCTCCTAACTGAATAATGTGATTAATCTGAAAGATACAAGGGGATATGAGCAGAATCCTTGAAATTCTAAAGCTTAGAAAACCAAGCATAAGATCAGGGGAGACATGGTATTTGATGGGCAAATAGAAGAAGCTTGGTCCCTATGCATGTTTAAATTACAATCTGAAGCTTCATTTATAGTCAGCTACTGTGTTTTTTGTTAGTAAATTTAAGAAAAACAAAAATAGTAAGAAAGAAGAAAATATGACTTTGAGACATGAATAACACTATCTTAAAGGCAATTATGCTTATAGAATACAATAAAGCCTTAAAACTCTCTAAATCAGAAATAACAAAATTGGTCAAGTAAAAAGATCTATTTATAATAAATGGACAGTCATTAATCAAGCTAATTCAAAAAGTCATGATATTTTGTATAGTCATATTTTATTATTTAAATAAATTTTACTTAAAGAGTCATATTTTTCATTGTTCAAACATATTTATTCAGAATCAGTAATATTCTGAAATAAAATAAATAATAATAATAATAAAAATTTAAAAATTAAATTTATTTATCCAAATGCCCATCTTTGACTTATAAAATTGTCTAACCCACTAAAAAAACTCCTAGTAAACCCAAATAATTTAGCTCACTCCAACACTTAACTTAATTATTTAAATAACATAAGTAATTTCTTTTAAACTATATATAAGTGATCTTTCTATTCAATGTGAGATACACCTAATTCTAAACTACCAACAATTTTTTCTGAGCATGGAGATCCCGTTTTGTAGCCTCCCGTAAAGGGTGCTTTCTGCATCCAGCAGTGGTCAAATGTATGAGCAACAAAAAGGGGAAATATTTCATTTTGGTCTGCTGATGGAGTTTGTAACTGGAAAGAAAACAAACGACAAATGGAATTAGAGGCTGAATTGGTATCAGATTTTTGGGAGATCAGCCGGTCAAAATATTGAGAGTTAATGGAGTCATCTCATTCACTGCATAGAGAGAGTAGGATTACAAACTCATGCTGCAAAAGCTAAATTTGATGCAACTACTATGAAACATTGAATACCAGAACGAGCCAGACCAAGAGGGTTATGACACTCCGGAAAGGGTTATCTTCTCTCAGGAGTCAAGATACTATTCACCACCAGGAAGTTTTCTAAAACATACAGCTGTACAAAATTACAGTAGAAGAGCTATAACATACCTTGTGTTGTCGGTGAACATGTGGTTTCACTAGGTTGATCACGGCAAAAACAAATGAAACTATTTGTAGTCTGATTATATCCGCAAACCCCATCAGAATCACTGCATCTTCTGCATCGATCACTATCTACTTCCCATTGCAATTCAAAACCTCCCTTCAAAGCATCATTCACAGTCAACGGGTTTCCCTCTAGAATCTGAGACGCTCTTTCATAAATTGGAACAATGACACTTCGTTGGCATACCACCGGACGAGGATCGACCAGAAGACTTGTGACAGCATATGACACATCCATAATGGCACCATTTATGGTACAGTTATTTCCAAAAATAACCACCGAGGGTAGGTAGCAACCATAGAATAGGGTCAGGTTTCTGAGGTTTGAGCCAAAATCGAAGTGATTGAAGTCGATGGTGGTGTTTATTAGTTCCGTTGGGCAATAACCATTCCAGTAATCCTCTCTAGCAACCTGAAGAATTTGCTGTCGAGGGTTTACATCAAGAATTCGTAACGTATTTTGACCCATCGTGATCTTTGCTACTTCATCTTCGCACTTCAGCTCGAACCCTGGTGGGCCACAGTAATTTGCACGGTTCATTCCCCAGAAAGGGTAATCAAAAGCTATGCTTCCACATCTTATGGTTGTCCTGCAGTCTGAGTACCGTGGGTCATCGACGCAAAGAGTAGTTGGAACTCCGATCAAGGCAAAAAGAAAGAAGAAAAGAGCCAGAAGGGAAGAGATTGAAAAAGAATTTGGATACATTTTAGTTGAAGTTACAGAAATGAACGGTGGAATAAGTTTATGAAGGATCAATATTGAAGCAAGACTGGTAACAGAGAAGAAAGGGTGATGAAGTCAATTCCGTTTCTCGTTTCTCATTGATGAGGCTTTTACTCAACTGTCCGATAAGGGATATTGTAAAATTCAACGATTGAGAAAGTTCTTCTGTAATCTTTATTGGTCAATTTGAAACCATTTATTCAAGCTTGAGTTGTATATATATATTATCCTTTTCTAATCTGGAAAGCTATAAAAACTTGCATCAGGTGCCTAGAATTCTAGATTGTCTATTAACATAGTGTAAAATTGGCTCTATAGTGTAGCCATATTCTATGAATACATCTCCAGGGAAGAAGACTAAAACTTCATTAGCAGAATTAGATGGAAGTTGGAAGTTATTGCTTTGATAGCAGAATTAGATGGAACTTGGAAGTAATTGCTTTGAATACGAAACAAGTGGACCACAAAAGATCTTCTTAAAACATAGTAAGATTTTTCTAATGTAGAATTGACAAGTTATTCAAGAGGTTAAATGAAGATCAAACCAATGAAATGGAACCTGACATCTATATCAACCTACACGGACAGCTACTTGTTAGTCACAATGTCCGCAACCAATTAGGCATTCCTGCAAGTGTAAGCATAATTAAATCATTAATCATTTATATAAAAAATAAAATTTTAATATAATTTGACACTCTATTTTCTTACATTCACGGACAAAAAAATCATTAATTATAAAGAATTATAAATATATAATCATATCAATTAACATTTTAAATTATAACTCATAGATATTCTCCTTTTCATTTAATCTTATAAAGTATTCTTGATCCAAATATTAAACAATTATCACATCTACGAATCATTCATTCTCCTCTAATCCTATAAAGTATAATCAATAAAATATATATTTATATATGTATATTTGTGAATACTCTTCCTTAACCTCATATGTTGTTATCTTGCAAAACCTTATAACTTTTATTATATCTTTCTTTCATATCTAACTCTATTAAGATTCTTACTATTTATAAGCCTTACCCACCAAAAATCAATTTTTTCTTAGAATTCTTATCTTACAAATAGAGATGATAAAACAACTTGCATTTGATTAATTTTAACCCACTCCAATATGATATGAATGGCTTTTTTAGATCAAGGCTAAGGTTGGAGGCAAGTAGGGTATTTTTCTAAAAAATCAAAGTCAGGTAAGAGATGGGGTTTAGGGTACTATGCCTTATTATATAAAATTATATTTATTAAGATATTTTAATAAAATTATTATTTAATATCTTAATTTAAAATATTTGTCATAACGTCTAGATCCATAGATTTATCGTTAGACATTGACTTAAGAAGTCCCACTAATATTTTTTATCTAGGTGCGATTGACCACCTAAGAAATCTATCTTTTTAAGGAACACCTAAATCTGAGGGTCCCTAAAAAAATAGGTTTAGGTCTACTAACCAGAATAGGGTCTAGGAGTACGATTACGTGTGAGGAAGGTTATAGCACCCTCACAACGCCCCATTGAAAGATAGTACCAGCTTAATTTTGTGTTATCCAATAAGCCTTAAAAATTTACCAAGTAATTAATTATTAAAAATTATTCTCAATTGACTCTAATACTTTTAGCAAAAAATTGAAAAAATTTTCTCACCTCAAGTGTATGCAAGAAGGCTATTGTTTCACTTGCAGAGACTCTATCGTCGGATTATTTAACATTAAAGAAAATTCAAGAAACAAAAAGAAAAAGAAATAAAATGAAAAAAAATGATTCAACTTTAGATATAAATAATTTTCTCTTCAAAAACTCATTGCTTTTGTACAAGAAAAATTGATACTTTCAACTTTTTCCCAAAATATTTTTCTGAAACTTTAATTTCGAGAAAAATTGATATTTTTAACTTTTCCTCAAAAATAATTTTTAGAAAACTTATTTTCAAGGAAATTTGATACTTTCAACTTTTTCTCAAAAATAATTTTTAGAAAACTTATTTTCAAGAAAAATTGATACTTTCAACTTTTTCTCAAAAATATTTTTTTAGAAAACTTATTTTCAAGGAAAATTGATACTTTCAACTTTTACTCAAAAATATATTTTTTTGAAATTTTGTTTAAAGAAAATCAAAAAATAAAATAAAATAAAATAAAAATAAAGATAAAAATAAAAATAAAATAAAGAATACTAAACAATTCTAATCTAATCAATAAATAATAATAATAATAATAATAAATAAGAAAGAAAAAAAAAACCTCTGGAATGGCTTGGCTCGGCTGGAAAACGGCTCGACCCAAGATAAAAAAAAACGGCTCGAAGACATGGCTCGGGGATGTCGGCTCGACTTGGCTCCAGGGATAAGCTAGCACGCGGTTTAACGAATCGGGTCGCAATCGAGTCGGGTCAGCCTAAACAAAAACATACGGATCCTGGTAACGTACTAACACTAAAATGACGTCATTTTGCATGGGTATAAAAGGTAAAGAATCAGTTTTTTCTTCAAATGCGCCTTCCCCATTCTCTCTTTTCCCCTTAACTTTCTCCTCATTCTCTCTACCCGAAGAAAATAACCTAGAATTCGGTTGAATTTCCATCGAATTCTGAAAAATAATGTCGAAAACTTCAAAGTTGGCCTGAAAACTCGTCGAAAAATTCAAGGTTCACCAGAAAATTTCACCGGATTCTAAAAAATTTCCAAAAATTTTTCAAAAAAAAAACTTCAAAAATTCTATAAAATATCTCACAGATTCCTAAAGCTGTATCTAACACACCAGAACCTTTTTAGCTTCTATTTTTTCTCTGTGTATCCTTTTCGTGTATGTTCCAGCACTTATTTATAGGGATTAATCAGAAGAGTTTCTGATTAATCTCAATTCCTTATGGGATTAGGATTCATTCTTTGAATCCAATCCAAACTCTTTCAATCTTCTGATTCACAGCAGAACCTCCTTCTATAACCAAAAATTATATCTATCAAAACAGAATTCAGACCGAATAAACCAACCAAAATAATGATAATAATAATAATAATAATAATATATACATTAATCAATAAATATAAAAAAATATTGATAGATAAATAAAAATAATAATAATAATAGATAAGTATAAAAAATATACAATAATAAATAAAAAAATAATATTAATGGATAACTAATAAAAATATATATTATTAGATATAATATATATAATAAAAAAATAAAGATAATAAAAATAAAAATAAAAATAAAATGGGCCATTTTGCCCCATTTGGATCGGCCCAATTGATCCGGGCCTGGACTAAATTGGGTGTCTACAGCTGCCCTTTTTTGCACATTTTTTGTGAAACAGGAATTGTGCAAAGACGTAGACACCCATTCAAAACTCAACTGGATATTTTATTTTTTTTTTTGTTAAAATTTTGATCAAAGCTCCTCTAAGTAGAGGCTCAACGACTTTAAAAAAATAAACAAAACTTCTCTAAATAGAGGCTCCACGACCTTGAAAATAAATGGCTCCTCTAATCAGAGGCTCAATGACTTTGAAAAATAAATGGCTCCTCTAATCGGAGGCTTAACGACTTTGAAAAATAAGTTGCTCCTCTAAACAGAGGCTCAACGACTTTGGAAAGGTAAATTGCTCCTCTAAATAGAGGCTCAACGACTTTGAAAAATAATTAAAGCTCCTCTAAACAGAGGCTCAACAACTTTGGAAAGGTGAATACTCATTGACAATCATGTCCAAAGGAATTAAAGATCGTGTTTGAAGGAATTTCCGAAGATTATGCTCCAAAGGTCTTACAAATCAATCCTGATACGCGAAATATCCTATTTTAAGGATAAAAAACTTACCGACAAGCTTTTTCTCCAATTTGAAAAAGTTTTCCCATCGGTCTTTTTCATACGAAATTTGGAATACCCCTACTTTTTGAATTTATGCACTATACTTTCCAAATGCAGTATATGCTATGCGGAATGCAATGCATGTTATGCAAATGCTGACTGATTAATTTCCATTCAGTTATGGCATTCAAGTTTCTCAAACTCTTTTCTTGGGCCTTAAACTCTTTGTTCTTCAAAGACCAAGTTACGCTATTCTTCTGAGATCGAGCTAATGTAACTCTCAATCATCTCTTCCACTTAATTCTCACATTCTTTCTATAAGAAATCTCTTTCCAAATTCAATGTCCTTATCCAGAACTAAACATCTCGATTCTACCTTTATCACTCTTGACTTTTTCAATGTAATGTAAAATTTTTCATGCCATTGTTCATTTATCAATCATTATTTCAAACTCAAAAAGTAAGAATGCATTTGCACATTTCTTCCATTGTAGGGTATTAAGAAGAAAAGAATAAGAATGGTTAGGAAATAGTCAACAAAAAAGCCACACAAAGAGTAAAGTAAAATATCTTTTATTAGCAAAAATGTTGACAAACTTTGGCCAAGAAAGAATTACAAATAGGCATAGGGAAATAATGCCCAAAAATGAACAATCGGACAATCATGATAACACATTTCAAGGTTCTTCTGAAAACTCAATCATCTGATGTATTTAACAATTTAGAGCTCCTCTGAATTTACTAGCCTCCATGCCAATGAATTTTTAAATTTGATGCTGTATTCTCTTTATCTAAGCTGCCTTTTCAGGTTTTCAACTTAGATAAACCCCCTATGACTCAAACTACCCTTTTAGGGTTTTCGCCTTGAGTTTTCCGTTTTCATTCACTTTTTCTTTTTTTTTTTTTCATTTCATTTTTTCTCTTTTTTTAAGCATAATACTTTTTCACAGCATCAAAATTTATAAGATGGGGTAAATCATTTCCATCCATCTCAATCAATATCAGTGCTTCACCCGAGAAAGCCCGTTTCACCACATACGATCTTTCCTAATTCAGAGTCTATTTTTCTCTATTATTATGCTGGGTTGAGAGGATTCTTTTTAAAACCAACTCTTCTTCTTGAAAGCAATAGGGTCAAAATTTTTTTGTCATGAGATCTCATCATTCTTCTTTGATATAGCTGACCATGGCACAATGCACTCAATCTCTTTTCTTCTATGAAATTTAATTATTCATAGCATTCTCGAATCCATTCAGC